TACTGGCCAGATGAATTATCAACAGATGAAAGTGATTAGATAGATCATTATGAATAGGACACATCCTATTTATTATATTAATAAATTGCACAGTTTTCCAAAAGATGAGGATAAATGTAGTTGCGAAAATAAACAATAGCGAGAATCGTCTTAGAAGGTGCCCTATGTATTCAGAGAGCACCGGAAAAGTTTATTGCTTTTGTTACAGAATGTCTGGCTTCCCCAGTTAAGTCTATATTAGGAAATTCTGGAATTAATGGCCGGCAGTCATCTCATGTTTACATACAGTTACACGAAAATTCAGTACATCACATGAAATGTCAAAACAAAGGGTATGAAAAGACTAATAAAATTAATGATAAGGAGCATAAGTCACAAATGAGAAAAGAACGAGAGCAAACGAACGAAACGAGAAAATACAGGGGTTCAGGCAAGGATCATGAAAAAAATTCATGGGCTTATATGCCATGTGGATGTCATTATCCTAAACTTAATGGTTAGTTCTTGTGCAAGATTTGTCTGGAATCAACTTATTCTTTTGGTACTATACAGCACATCTATGCTTTCTTTTTTGCCTCTCCTGAGCGATGGCATGCACTGAAAACGCATCCTACTTGCCTCACTGCAACCTTTATGCGAGATTAGATGGGACTGAGAAACAGAATGTGTTATCAAAACCATAAAAAAGGAAATCATGGGAATTCGCGAAACTTTTTATGAATTTAAATGCATCAGTCTGATCCTGTAGTGCGACATGAAGTAGAGATTCTTTTGTAACAAGAACAGACCCCCCCCCTTTTTTTGTGATAATGAATGCCTGGTATAATATCTTTGGCAATGTAAATGTTGTTAGTAAAACTGTACAGAAACTATGCTAGAATGTAAATGCACCAACAATCTTCAGTTTGAACGAGAGTGCATATGACCCAGGAAAAAGATTTAAAAATCTCGTATTCAATGTAATACAGGATAGAGCTCAACTCTTTATCAGAGAGATTTTAACAGTTAAAAAGTTAAAGCCATGAATTTTTTAAATGATCTGCAATATAAAAATAAACTCAAAGTAGCGTGTCAGGGTTTGGAGTGTGAGTTAAGGTACCGAAAAAATAGTGATATTATGGAATTTATCTCTTGACTCAACTAGATATAGCTAAAGAATTATTTTCTGAAGACCTAGTCTTCTAATAGAAGCCCGCTAGGTTCATAAACACTAGTAAGTTACAGGATGTCATGCCAAGTCTGTGAGTTGTTTTAAGAATAATGCTTCAAATACCTATTACTAAGACCGCTACCGAGAGAAGCTTTAATAAACTAAAGCTTATAAAAACATATTTACAGTCACCCACGTATCAAAACAGATTGAATTCTTTGGCAGTTTTGTATGCAGAAAATGGTATTCCAAAGAAAATAAATGCAGAAAGTACTATGAAAAATTTGCTGATCTATAGGCCAGAAAAAATGTTTTGGTTAAGCTAGTTTTTCTGAGAAAAACCTTATTGTTTATATTACGATCAATACATAACCAACATAATAAACCCCCCATTTCTATATTTTTAGTTTCCTTTTTTCCTAGTGAAAATTTTCATAATTATGCTTAATAAGGGCCCAAAGTTTAACTTGCCCGGGGCGCAAGTAACTATAGGGCTGGCCCTGTTAAGCCTATCGAAAATGTATGCAGTGAGCTGGAGAAAAGAATAAGAAAACATATTTCTTCGAAAGTTACACTAAAAGTAATTTTTACGACGGAATCGAACAAAATGAAAAATTTAAAAGAATTAAATGAATCCATGCCAATGCGTACGAAGAGTGCAATTTTAGCTGAGAAATGACCAACGAAATATTGGATGTCCCGTTATTTTCATGTTAAGTAAAAACTGTTTATTCGAAGTGCCCGAATACTTATATGAGTTCATTTTCAGAAATTTCGGAACAAATTATTCTATTTGACGAAAACGTTTTGAACATATACCCCCCGAAACAAGCAGTTTTAATAAAGATGATCAAAACTAAAATAATTGCACAAAAACTGAAGAACGCGTGGCCAAAAACAAATGTGACCCATGTATACGATATTGTGTTCAAAAAGAAATTTCAGAAACAAACAGAAATTTTTAAAATGAAATTTTCTCTTAATTGTTACTTCCTTGTACGAATTAAAAAGGAAGTATTGTAATCGCGAAAAGTTTCAGGCAGAATATTTCAAAGAAAATCGAATGCAATTTAACGATGTTTTTGTGTGATATCTGTACGTAAGGACAGAATAAAATACTCTTTTCCTTCAAAAAAATTATAAAACTGCTTTAAAATTAATTCTGAAGAGAATTTTTCGTGGCGTAACGTATGTAAGAATGTATGTACGTACGTGCGTACGAATGTACGTACGTATCTCGCATAACTCAAAAACTAGTAGCCTCAAGAACGTTGAAATTGTGTATATCAGACTACTATAACATGTAGACGTGCACCTCGTATTTTGGTTTCAATCGGCCGCGCCAAACGTATATAAATATATTTATAAATATATCCACTCTGTTACCCGGCTCAGTAATCTCAGTTTCTTTACTATGTTCGTAAATTGTACATTTTTTGCTTTAAAAATGGTTGAATTATGTTGTTTTTATCTTCCGGTTAAGGATTTTATGCCTTTAGTAAATCTGTGTGCAATATTTTTAGAATTATTAGCAATTTTAAAGTTGTTTAATTGCCGCTAAGCCTGTTTTTAATGGCAGCCATTGATGTTTACATTTGAAACAGGAGACTAGTGGATTTGTTGCTAATCTAGAGAAACTTAGCTTCCCAAGAACAAAGATAACGCATTAATTTATTATTGCCAATTAAATTATGCTTAATTCTTTCTGGAATTTTTCGAAGAAATAAGTGTTTGAGCTTTACTTCGTAATTTTTAATATAGATATTTTGAATTTTTATGTATTTTTGCCTTCTCGCGAAGTGAGAACTGAATTAATTAAATGAGAAATACTCAATCATCTGTGAAAAACTGTTTCTTTTTTGTTTTGTTTGCTTAATTTCTTTTATACATCATTCTAGCTTTATTATAGTATTTGAATAGAACATGTGGCAACGATTAGATAATTCTATTCTTTAAATGATATAAATTTTGTGCATTATGAGTTATTAATATGAACGAAATATATACGTTAACTGTTATATAATTATTGGATTATATAACAGTTAACTTAGTTTCAGTTACATAATTATTATATAAGTTAACTGTTATATAATTATTAATACTGTTAAGTGAATCTAGCGCCAGAGTGTCGCTATGGTAAACAAATACTAGACTGAATTTTAAAGAATGCATTTATTCTATTGTGGTTTATTCCCGCGAACGGGCTGGCTGCATGGGCGTTTTCGTGGATTTCCCCATGTGTAACGTGTATACGAGCCAGTTTCCCTAAGAAAGTCCTCCATGAAAGGCATCCCTCCCCTTAGGCAGATAGCCCTCGAGGCTTTGCCGTAATTGAATAACCTAACCTAACCTATTGTGGTTTATGCGCTGTCGGCGAAGTAGATTTAATTCAATCCAATAAGTTTAAATGAAATGCAAGAAAAAATGCGTATAATTTAATATTCCAATACAAGGAAGTCATGTGGTGTACACATCAGATTTTTTTAATTTGCATTACATCATTATGAAGTTTTTAACGATTTTTTTTTAATATCTGAGTGCAAAAAATACAAAACTGTTCTTCAAACTAAAGTTGGGGTACAACATGAGTATAACCACGATTGTAGGACCACGTTTCACATGAAAAACTAACGTTCTTTTTCATCCGAAAAGTTGGGCCCACCAGCGGCCGATCGGTAAAGTCGCTGAACACAGGTAGTTCGATCCGAGGTTCGAATCCCGCGAACGGGCTGGCTGAATGGGCGTTTTCGTGGTTTTCCCCATGTGTAACATGTATACGAGTCAGTTTCCCTTAGAAAGTCCTCCACGAAGGCATCCCTCCCCTTAGGCAGATAGCCCTAGTGTGCTTTGCCATAATTAAATACACCACACCACACACCATCCGAAAAGTTGACTAAAATAAACTGATCCAAAAATCTATTGACTAAATAAGCAAACAGCTCATAAGTTTAGGCTGTAAATGTATGATCTGCAAATATATATCGTAAAATATGGCTGCGGAAAAAAATACTTTTAGAATTTTTATCGGCTACAAAGAAGGGGGAGAATGAATGGCTTAACTTTATTCAACCGTTTAATATAGAATCTGATTATGAATCCACTGAATCTTAGTTGAAAAACCGCGTTCCTTTAGTTTCCGAGATACCATGGTCACTAATTTCAAAAACATGAATTTGAGAAAAATAAGCGTAAAGTTGACTTTGGCCTAACTAAAACCTACAAAATTATCACCGTTCTTCATATTTTGAAATTTTCAACATGTTTATTCTAGAAAGACTGCAAAAAATATAAAATTTTATAAGGATTATATATTTTCTAAGTAAAACACTGATTTTAAATCAAAACACAGTTTCCAAAATCAATACGGCACTAAATAAATAATATGTATAGTTTTTTCAGTTACAAATGATGAACTCTTTAAAATTCACGGCATAATAACGTAGTATTTTAAAAACTAATTATAATCAAACAATAATCAAAATAATCAGTTATTATGTAAATCCTAAAAAATATTTAACTTAAATAATTCTTTCGCAAATTGTTTGGCAGATTTCTTTTTATAAATCCTTGATGGAATCATTGACAGGTAAATGATTCTGTTGCAGCACGCAGATTTGAAAGAAAATTAAAGATCAGTGCTACCTGTACAACACATTATCTATTTTAAATAGGTTTATACAACTTATTTTTAAAAAAGGTCCTAGAGGCAAAAAATATATATTCAATGCGCCACACTTTCACTCAGGTAAATGCCTAAAATAATAATTAAAGCAAAAAACCATCGGTAAACATGCATTTAACCTCAATATTCCAAGGAACGATGACGTAATAAAACGAGAAATTCTCTTACCTGCTTACGAAATATCCTTTCGGAAAAGTCGTTCCAGCGTCATGTGACAAGGGCGGGAAGTAGAAGCATCGGCGGAGACGAACAAAAAGTGAAAATTCGTTGGAAAGTATACATACACCACAGCGCTGTTTTTGATATCACCGAGAGAATCGAAGAGTTCTACGGCGTTAGTAGCGATTACGTGAGATTCCTAGAGCCACGATAGTGAGCGTTACCTCGTACACAGAGCATAGAGTGATCGCCATACCACAAAAGGATGCTATGTATAACGAGACTGAATAATAAATAATAAAGGCATCTCACTCTTTTCTCTCCCAGACAGGTAGCTGTGGAATCCGGGAGTAATGAGCAAGTTCAGCTGAGCGTAGCCATAAAAAATACAAAAGAAAAAGTATGGTTGGTGTTCGTGGAACCGGTTGCGCTTTTACCACTATGATATTTTACTTTTTTCCTTCACTTTTATTTTAGGAAGTGATGAAGTTCATTCATGAAAATCAGATTTAAAAAAATGTAGCAGTTTTTCACTGCAAAAATCAAAATGGCAATCAGATGACAATTTAACACTAAAAATGTCAATGGGATATGCTGACAGTGCGAAACATGCCAGTTCATAATATCCAACCTGTTCTTTGTGTGTGTATTCATAAGGAATATTATTTTTTAACTCTTTGTTTTTTTAAAATGAACCTGTGACATTATTATAGGATTGTGAAGTTCTTTTACTAACTTAACCTTATACTGGCATTATTGATTTTTTGGTTTAAATCTCTTATCTTCTAAATTACGTCAGGTTCAAGGTGTACACTCGGAAGTATAAACATTGCCCTACGCCCCCACCCTCCACCAATGATACAATATATGATAGGGAATTTCTACTATCAAAAGGGTTTTTTCCTTTTAATTATTTCTTCACTTTGCAAATCACTGCTTTTACTCGCGTGCTTCATATTCGAACGGTTGTTACAGAGTCGACCAGCATTTGTTGTTCCAGCTACACTAAAATTTTGACAATATTATTCATTCACATTCTCATGCAATTTTTTTTTATTGAAATTTATGTCTATACTACTGCTCTGAAGGCACATCATTTTCTTCAAGTTCTTTGTTCACTTAAATTTTTACACTTTGTATATACACATAGACATTTTTTCGTACATTTGTACCATATGTAAAATAAAGAAGAATTCGAACTCTAGGACCAAAAATTTGCAAACATACAGTGTCTCAAAAAGCGATCAGGAAGATAAAACACTTTTGATATTTGTAGAGGAATCGATGCAGGAGATAAGAAAAATGTTCCTTGCCGGGATTCGAACTTCAGACCTCCCGATTATGTGTCGAAAGTCCCACCCAATTAACGCCACAAAGCCATGCGGAAAGAAGGAGAAAAAGTATTTATAATAGTTTGATAATGTTAAACTGAAATGTTGATTACAATAAGCAACGCATTTACCATGTCTGCGTATACAAACTGGCGGGACTTCACTAATTCGATAACAGTATCATTAACCGCCATCACACTACGCGATATCTACCGTATAGACATAAAGGTTTAACGGTTCTACAGTTAATTTATAAATAATAATATAAACTGTAATAATGATGTATTCTATTTTGGTACTATTCGGTTTCGAGGGCCGTAAAAAATCGCCAAACTATTGTTGATGCCAATGCTGCCAAAAATAATTGCGGCAACCCTAATAATTGCGGCAAGAAAGGAAGTATAATAGTAAATAACTATTTAAAGATTGATGTTTTAATTTAGATGAAAGGTTAATTTCATATAATACTTTTTTTATTATTATAATTTATATGAAAAGGCTAAACATGACTGAATGGAAGCATAAGAGTAAATAACTATTTCAGATCATTGTTATAATTTATATAAAAATTGCTAAACATAACTGAACGGATGCCTGCATCGCTCTTTCGCTACCGACTTATCGCTAAAGCATAATTTCATCTCGTTGGTTGTTTAAAGGTAATTTTCTATAATGAATTATGCCTTTTCTTTGAAAATATAATCGGTAAAGTGCAGAATCGCTCACTTATTTGTTTGCCGCTTTTTACAAGAGTAAAAACAATTGGATTTTTGTCAATTTTCTTTTACTTTTTAAGTGAAAATAGGTCGATGTGTACATAGATAAAGTCAAGGGTGTGCGCAGTGCCATTTTTGTGCAATTCTAGGATTTTTTTTTTTTTTTTTTTTTTTTTTTTTTAAGTGAAAATAGGTCGATGTGCACATGGATACCGAGTATGTGCAATTCTTAAAGAGGTGGCTTGCAAATGCGGTCAGCAGGAGACTGACGTTAATTACGGAAGGGGAAAGTAAACGGCTGTGTCTGGGATCATAAGAGGAGATATATTTTAAAAAAAAGTGTTTTTAGGTCTCATTCAGTATCAGTATATCAGAAATAAATGATGCACATGGTATCAGAATGGAGACAAATTACATACGATACGAAAAGTTATATTTATTTGTTTATTAACATTTCATTATTACATTGTTTTCGTTCAGGAATTTCCTTCCACCACCCTCTGGGCAATACATACAGGTACATGTAAGTCGGCTGAAAAGCACTGCTATGAACAAATAATCCAACCCAATTCCAGATGAACAGAGCTTATTAATACTAATTGTTTACGGAAAGCATCCTAGTTTTTGAAAAGCTTCGTATCATCTAACATAAAATTAATTAATTAATCATCTTAAGAATGATTTTGTGTTGAATATGGCAAAACATATGAGGGTTGGCTAGGCATGATTTCATGGAGAATTTTCTAAGGAAATGGGCTCATATTTACATACCTTAAGGAAATCCACGAAAATGCTTACACAAAGTGGTACGTTGCAGTAGGGTTCCTTCAATCCATCTGTTAAATTTGCATCTAATTGTCAAGTGCTCCCATCGGTTAAATTTGCATCTAATTGTCAAGTGCTCAACTTTTTTTGGCTAGTTTATACATTCAAAGGAAAATACAAGTTACTCACTGAACTTTCGCACGTTAGTCTGAATAACCTTTAAACCCGATGAACAGTATATTTTCTGTGACAAGGCGAGCTTTCTGACTGTACAATCTGTTTTACAATTAGCGAGCTTCTGCCGAATAAGTTTATTCGCTATTTTATGTAATTTCTGCAATATTTTGTAATTCTTTTATTTTTTTCATCTGTCCCGTGTCGACCACTTTAGTTCAGTGATCCGTATTAATGTGCGCTTTTTTTAAAAAAATATAAATGCTTCAAGAATAATTAATTAGAAAAGGGCATAATTCTTTTCTTACCCTTAACTTCTTCAATAAAAAAACTGCATTTTGAGCTATAACCAAGTGAAATAATTTTCTAAATATAATTCAGTGTAGAAAAAAATAAGATACATAAAGGGCTAGGAAATGGAATCAGCGTTGCGATTCTCTTTAAGAAATATGGTGAAGCTTAGCAAAAAGTCTACGAAGTGAAGTAATTCCGTAGAATATTTTCTCTTTATGATTAAATTGCACTCAATTATACTTTATAAACGACATGTAAATACTATTTAATGTATATGTGTGTGTGTGTGTGTGTGTGTGTGTGTGTGTGTGTGTGTGTGTGTGTGTGTGTGTGTGTGTGTGGCTCACTAGCAGCTGAGCTGTAAAATCGTTGAACTCTGGCAGGTCGATCCGGGGTTCGAATCCGGATCGACGGGGATGGCTGTATTGGCGTTTTCGAGGTTTTCCCCACGTGTAACGTGCATAAGAGTCAGTTTGTCTTAGAAAGTAGGCAACTTACCCTTAGGCAAATAACCGTCGAATGCTTTGCTATAATCAAACAAACCAGACCAAACAATAGATATATAAATAAGTAGCTTAAAAAACTGCTATATTTTACGTATACTTATGAAGTAGTATTTCAATATATATAATGATTAAAAGAAAGGAAAAGTCGGATCCTAACTGATTGTATATAATGTAATCCCTATGAAGGCCCTAACAATTCTTTCTCACTTACAAGTCGTAACCCAAAAAGAGAACAAATTAAACTTCAGATACGTATACAATACTGAATCTAATACAAAAAATACAAAATATAAAAATAAATTATATATGTACGAAACCTTACTAACTATTTATATTGATATTACGTAAATATACGTATGGTAATGAACATTGTATAATAAAGATATTTTATACCTTGTTCTATATTTGGTTCCATTTATATACCTATACATAGATATATATAATTTAAGGATTCCGTTTAAGGATTATAGTAGTAGTTAATACTACTACATATAAAACACAAAAGTGCATCAATAATGTATTTTTCAGTATTATTTAACTTCATTCTTAAGAATTTTCTGCAGTCTAGTTTGCGTTATTTTATTCATAAGTCTCAAATAAAAACAGTTATTCTTTATATGTCATTAGAAAATTAACCAAAAAGCAGCGACCACAATGTAATTGAGAAGCAGTCCTTAGCCGTGAAAAGGTTGAAAGCCCTTCGGTTATGACTATTATCTCACATACTCAGCTACTTCGGTGGCTTTAAAAAAAAAATGTTATTATCTTACAGTTTATCGTTAAGTAATACATTTTCATTGTACAAAATTGCATTCATTCGAAGAATTCAATTTGTATTTTCCTCTGTATAAAACTGAATGTAGAGAAGTTAGATGTTTAAACGACCCCCACATTTTGTCAAGAGCAGGAGCAAGATTATCCCCTACTTTTCAGCGACCCCCGTGAAAAAAGGGGTTCCAAATTTACGACCTGACCGCATATGGGAGTATTTCCTTAAAAACGCGTCCAGCAGTGGGTGATTCTGCACTTTACCCAAAATTCTATTGCCGACTTTTCGTCATGGGCAATTCCCAAATTGTTAAATTCATAGGATGTCAAAAAAGGATTTAAAATCAAAAAAGAATTTAAAAATTAAACTAGTATTTCAATGGCGTCTTAAGAAATATAGAACAATATAAACTTACGCAATCTGAAATCAGCGCGTACGCTAGATTTAGCGCGTTTGCTAGATTTGGCGCTTTTGCGCATACATTTTCACTGCAATTTTTTTACGGCCCTCGAAACCGAATAGTACCTCTATGGTAATTTTTCACCACAAAAAAAATTATATATTTAGAGAGAGATTAAATTATATAAAAGTATATTAAATTTGAAAGATAAATTAGAGATTTTAAGTTGCGTTGAATGGCAACACTGAATGCGTGGAATATAAATACTTAACATTTTGTGTAAAGCGAGCTCATGATATCGCCATAATAGTGTAACATAACGAAACTATTCAAAAGTTTTTAAAAACTCTCTTAAA